AAAAATAACATCAATCTTACAGGCTTGTTGTATCAAATGACATAACATATTTAAAGCACTACAAACATATGAGCTAGTATTCTAGTCCTTTTGATTCTACTGCATTATAGATTTAGAGCTGGAAGGGACCTTGGGGATGATCTCATCCAATCCCTTCACTTTACAAGTGAGGAAACTGAGGCCCAGAAATGAAACCCAGTATTTTTGCCGTTAGACAAGTATCCATTCAATCAGAGGTGTGCTGGTAAAATGTTTAACAACTGACTTTCAGGGGGGAGAAAAGGTCCACATGACACACTTTTCAGTTCAATCTGCAATATTAACACTTTCTCCTTCACTTTCTCAAGTTTCGGCAAACAACAAAATAATAAATAAGTGCTAATTCATAGATCATTTGCCAATTTTTAAGGTCTAAATGCTCACAATGGAAATTTAACAATTGGTTTGTAGCACATCATGGTATGCTTTTCTGAGGAAGGGCCCATCTATTTTAGCCCACTCATTTGATTTGATATGTATGAAAGTTGATTTGAAAATAAGAATCAAGTCTTAGAGCTTAAAAAATCTAGTTTAATGAAAGCGATCAAAGAACTAGAGTTCATTCATAATCTAATTGGAGATAAAACCAGGATTAGAATGGAGGTCTCCTGCCTCCTAAATTCAGTCTGATTTCCACTACATCATGAAATTCTTTTTCCTCCTTTTTTCCTCCCATTTCTTTCCTGGACCCTCCATGTGAAAAGTGCCATCCTGGATCCTGGGCTGAGAGAGGGTGACACCATTTCTGCCCTCAGGGAGCTCCCAGGCTGAGATAAGGGGAAATGATATATACACCCAAGATGAGAATTACTAGGTTCATTACAAAGTCTAAAACCCTGTTCCAAAATGATGGAGGACAGGAAATACAGCAAACCCAATACTCTCTGCCCCTCCAGTGTGCTCTGTACCCAAGTGATGTGGCACCAGATAAGCAACTTTAATCAGTAGTGCCAGAGGCCTAACATGAGAGAATGAGTTGGGGGACAAGATTAGGGGATTGGGCAACAGTTAATACCATCCCTCCAGTGAAAGGTACCAAAGACCCCAGGTGTGGAGCCTACTGTTGTTTGGGAGAGTTCCTACCTGGACTTGATGGAAAGAACACTCACTACCTCTACTGACTGACATTCTGATGACTCCTTCAATTACAAAACTGCCACCACAAACTGATCCAGGGGCCATCTTGTTTACCTCTCTGCTTAATCTCCAAATAGTACTCTGCCCTCTGCTCTAAAGACCTGTCCTCTAGTGGCCACAGTTCAGTGTTGATTGCAGACCAGAGGGTGGCCTAGGGGCATAATAAACCTTAGTTCATGACTTAGCAGTTGGGGTGATCCAAGCTGGGATGCTGATGAAAGCTGTCCTCCAGGCCTCTCCCTTCACCCCTTACCCCTTTGATCCTCCCACTCTAGTACTTCATTTTCACCTCTAGTCTTTAGGTATTTCCCTCCAGTCACTTTTGAATTTTAAAATAAGTAGATTCTGGGAGAAGACAGGTCACCGACTCATCTATCCATTTATTCATCCTCTCTCAAAAAAGATGTTGAAAAGTTATCTCATCCATCCCCTTGTCCCTGGGCAGAACTACTAATATCCTAGACAAATGGGGCATCTCTATTGTTTTTAAAAGTTTCCAGAAAAAGTGATTCCCAAAGCATCCCTCAGAAGTTCCTTCTATTGTCTCACATACCTCAGAGATGAGTTCTTTCTTAGTCTAATCTAATTCTGTAACTGAGATCCCTTCCATGCATTTCTGTTCTAAGAAGGAAAACATGCTTAAAGTGAGGGGAAAGATGTCAAATACGTAAAAGGCTAGAATTAAGGTAGAGTTAGTTAATAAGAGCTCATATTTACATAGCATTTAAAGTTCAGAAAACACTTTCTTCATATGACCTCTGAGGCAAGTACTGAAAATATAATCATTTTCATTTTCAGGTAGGAAAACTGAGATTCTGAAGTGACTTGTCCATGCTCACATAACTCGTTGGTGTCAGAATTGGGATTCAGGCCCAGGTGTACAGATTTCTCTAAAATTCTTTCTACTATCCAACACCACTACTTAAACACTAGAAAGGACTGAGACACTCTCTTCCCAGTAGACCATAGGGGTTGTATAACTTTCACACAATCCACCCTGTCCCCTGTGGAGATAGACATACAGATTCCCTGACTCTTCAAGGGATTAGACACATGCCCCTGAAGAGGGCTAGCTATATGGACCATTTCTCTCAAAGGAAGTGAAAATACCAAGGAAGAAGATGGTTACAAAGAGCCCTGGAAGAAATAATTGGACACAGATCCTCCAAGGGGACTGAACATACAGAGACCCTCATAGACTGTCTCCTCCAAAGGTTCTGAATACATAGACTCCCCTGATAGAAGCACAGACATGAAGACATCCTTCCTTTCCTGAGAGACAGGAGGCAGGGAACTCCCCTAGGGAATTGACTACACAAACCCCAAAGAAGGACCAGATACCTGTCCCAAAGAGGAACCAGTGACAAAGAACACTCTTGGTGGGTCTGGACACATAGACCTCCCCCACAAGGACTGAACACACAGCTCATCACTTCAGAGTGGCAGTTCACGTAGATCTCTCAGAAGGGTTGGATACACAGATTTTCCCCAGGTCTCTTCTAGGAGGCGGGGCTCACATATCCCCAAGAAGAATGAGGCACAAAATCCTCCTATTCAGGACATCCCTAGAGTTTTTAATCGTCTCATCACCTTGGTACTTCCCTCTCCCTCTTCCTCCATTGCTTATCAAGATTCTAACAACTCCTTTCCTTGGTAGGTAAACAGCTTTGGCTCTGATTACACAGGGACCTTCGCTTGTGTTTGTGTATCTGTCTCAAACTAATAGTTACTGCAGGTCAGACTTTTCTCAAGGCATATTGAGAGTGACAGAACTGGAATTTGAACACAGATTTACTGACTTGTAGTCAAGTGATCTTTCCATTACACCCTGCTGCCTCTCACTAAGAATTTCAAAGCTGGAGGGGACCTCTGACATTATCTAGTCTAACTCCCTGCCTAATGTGTGAATCTCTTCTCTAACACACTGGATTTCAGTGGTTGTCCAGACTGCTAGTCATGATGGGAAATTAGTACCTTGAGAGGCAGCCTTTTCAGATGGTTCTAATGAATAGAAAATTCTTACCTTGAGTCCAAATCAACCACCTTCCAGTCTTTGGTCTAAATTCTTTCTCCTGCAGCCAAGAAGAACAATCTAACAATTTAATTTAAAATATATTTATTTAAAAAATATATTTATTAAGTGCCTACTATGTGGAAGGGCTCCTACTAGGTGCTGGAGATATAAAAGCTGAAATAAAACATTCCTATCCTCAAGGAGTTTATGCTAGTCCAAATTGTACACAGAGAAGAGATTTCATCAGAGACAGAGTTCTTTTTAGAAAGGACATGTTTACTCAGGGACTCATTAATTTTTTGAATTTATTTTTTAATGAACAAACACCTATTTTCTCTTTCTCCTCCCCCCCATAGGAAAATAAAAACCAAAACCCTTGTAAAAAATACAGTGTTTAACTGATGAGGACCATCTGCCCTTCATCTTTAAAGAGAATCTTTAGAATAACAGGCTTGTTGTAGCCAGAGGAAGCTTAGTTACAAACAAAGAACTTCTCAAGTGTAATGGGGATGGAATAGGAAAATGGGCTCTCAATTTATATGCAGGACAGCCTTCCTTTTTGTCCTAATTTTGCCTCTGCCTGACTCTAATGCTTTGCTTCCAGGTGCAAAATGGAGTCATTACAGGCTGACATTCCTATCAGATCCTAGATCCAAGATTAGTGGTGTCTAGATAGTTCCAAGTCTTGAATCATAGTTTTTGGGGACTGGAAAAGACTTTGAGGGATCATCACAGTCAATGTCCTGTCTCTGGGCACAGACTCCTATCTCTTTTATTTGTGGAACTCTTTGGGGAAGGGCATTTCCCAGCTCAGGAGCTCATAACCTGGGGTCCACAGACCTCCAAAGAGCTCATGAATAGATTTCAGGGGGAAGGTGTTGTTACACCTTTATTTTCACTAATCTCTAATTGGAATTAAGCATTTCCTTCAATTGTTAAATGAAAAACATTCATCTGAGAAGGGGTCCAAGGCTACTCCAGACTGCCAGAAGGGTCTAGGATACAAAAAAGATTAAAAATCCCTGCCCTAACATATCTCTGGAGATGTCCCACAAGCCATTTTTACCTGGCATAACCTTGCCTTACCATTTCTCTCCTTCCTCCTGCTTATCTTTTGCTCCCTCTCTAGCAATTTTCCTTTCTTCTACCTCAGGTAGTTATAATATCTTTGACCAGTTGTCCTAGGACTCTTTAAAAAAATTTTTCTCTCTCCTGGGCATGTGTCACATTTCCCCTTTGAGATTCTGAGTTTTCCAAGGAAGGACCCATGTAACTTCTTTCCCTTAGTTCATGAACCCTCAGCAACTAACACAGGAACCATGCAGGGAGTAGAAAGGGAAGAATTTTGGTCTGTATTTGTCATTAGTGGAAGGAAAGAAGGGCATTTCCTTAAATGGTTCCCAATACTACTCATTCCACTTCTGACCCAGAATTGGCCCCAACATCAACCCAACCCACAGCCCCAAACCACTGAGGGGGCGAGACAATCCAGGAGCCTACTTTAGAGATCCAGGAGTTGATAACCCCAGTAATTGGACGGCAACATGAATAGATAACCCCAAATTATTATAATGCAACATGTAAGCAAAGCAATTTCTGTGTTCTGGGTCATTTTATGGGGGATTCATCAGAGTCCGGGGCAGAAGAGACAAAAATCTATGAGGTGGGGTGACAGATAATTTGCAAAATGGAGAACCAAAGAGGTAATTTACAAAGTGGTCCAGAGTGACCTGAAAGATATTCCTGACCCATAAATTAGGCTGACTTCACTGTCTCCCATCCCAACTTTCCAGGCTATATAAGAGGAGAAGCTATCGAGGTAGATCAGCTGAGCTGCACCTCTTGGTCCCATCTCTTTGTCTCCTTGCATTGCATCTGCTGCCATCTTTGCCTGGCTGCCATGAGTCGTCAGTTCAATCACTACCCCAGTGGGGACCGCATTGGCTTCAGTGGCTGCTCAGCTATCATTTCAAGTAGACTTAGCAGCAGTTCAACCTCCTTCCGGGGTGGGGTGAAGGGAGTAGGGGCAGCAGCCTTTGGCAGCAAGAGTCTTTACAGCTTGTGTGGCAACCGTCAAATTTCTATCAGTGCCACAACAGGGGCATCCCGGACTGGGAGCTATTCTCTCGGGCATGGGGCTAGTTTTGGGGGAGGCAGGGTGAGTGGGTTTGTGGGAACAATTTTTGGAAATGCTGGACTGGGACCTGTGTGCCCATCAATCTGTCCTCCCCGAGGCATCGCTCAGGTTACCATCAACAAAAGCCTCCTGGCCCCGCTCAACGTGGAACTGGACCCTGAGATCCAGAAAGTGAGGACCCAGGAACGCGAGCAAATCAAGGCACTCAACAACAAGTTTGCCTCTTTCATTGACAAGGTGGGTTGACCTGTCTTCTCTGTATTGTCTTGAAAATCCTTCCTCCTTTCCTTAGGCAGAGCCCCATCTTGAGCACTAGTGGGCATTTGTGGGGGATTCAGAAAGAGGAGCAGCCTCCATTTCTGCCCTTGGGGAACTTATGAGAGACTATAAGATTTAGAGCTGGAAAGGACTCTAGACGTTTTATATAGTTCAACTTCCTCATTTTACAGATGAGGGAAGTGACTCATCTAAAGTCAAATAGCAGAACTGGGATTTGAGCCAGTCAATCAGTTAATAAACATTTATTAAGCACCTACTATGTGCCAGGCACTGTGCTAAGCACTGGGATACAAAGAAAGGTAAAAGGAGATTCTTGAGGGGCTCACAGTTTGATGAGAGAGACAATATGCACAAATAAGTTATATAAATGATAAATTAGAGATAAGCAGTGGAATCCAGTGGTTCTTAAACTTCAGTGGTTCTTAAACTTTTTGATCTCAAGACTCCACTACACTGCTAAAAATTGTTGAAACCTTTCCCCTTCCTCAAACACAAAGATCTTTTGCTTATGTGGGTTATATCCACAAATATTTACTAAATTAAAATTGTAAATGTATGAAAAATTTTGACCTTACAGACCCCTTTAAAGAGTTTCAGGACTTCTAGGGGCCCTTGGACCACACCTTGAAAACTGTTGCTTTAAATGATGGCTGATACTAATATGGGAATGTTTTACATGATTGTACATGCATAACCTTATATCTGATTGCTTACCACCCCAGGGAGGAGGGAGGGGCGGAATAGAATTTGGAACTCAAAACTGTAAAAAAGAAGTTTAAAAATTGTTTTAACATGTAATTGGGGAAAAATAAAATATACAACTAAAAAAAAAGTTCAGTGAAAAAAAAATAAATGATGCCCAATGTATCCAGACACACAAAAATAGAGACAGAAGCAGTTATACATAGCTCTAGAAATCAGAATTGGGAGAATGGAGAAGAATTTGGTGGGGACATTGAAACATTGTGAGGGAATTAATCTAGGAAGGCTTCCTAGCAGACGTCAAGGAGGAGGGGAGTATGGTGCAGGGTTACTTTGTATTGGAAAACATGGCAGGAAAGGGGGGCTGGCCCACTGAAGTCTAAAAAGTGAGAGAGGAATTTTGGGAAAAGAACAGAGAACAGATTTTTCTGGCTAGAGCCTGAACTGTGGAGTCACAGAAAAATTGGGAAATATAAAATAGGAGAATAGCAGAAGGGAGAGTTAATGGAATGGGGGAAGAACTACACAGCCAGAGTGAAAACTGAGAAAATTGCCCACATAATTAATCTCCTTGAAGGCAGTGACTCAATTTTTCTATCCTCTTTAGATTTTTAAAACAATTTATTTAAAACTATTCTTTTCAATGAATAAGCATTTATTTTTTCTCTCCCATCTCTTATCCTCCTTCCCACTGAGGAAAAAATACAAAACCATGGTAATAAATATACACAAATTCCCACATTGGCCATATCCAAAACTATTTGTCTAATTCTGTATATTGATTCTATCATCTCTGTCAGGAAGTGAGTAGCATGCTTCCCCATCCCACCTCTGTAAGGAGGGAAACCATTAATTTTCTGAATCCCATTCCCCTATTTCCTCCAGGCTTACTACATGATTTATTTTGGACGAGTTTTTTTCCTCCTTGATGGCCACAACAACCATAGTTAGTCTCTAATTAGCAATGGCTATGGTCTTCACCACTTGACTGACTTCTAGCTTTCCTCCCTAACCTAGAAGAAGTAAAAGAATTATAGTATCACTCTAGTGTTCTCAGAGCTAGAAAGTACCTCAGAAGTCATCTAACCCAAGTCTGGGGTTCTAATTGTCAACTATGTGGGGTTCTAGGTGTGTTTTCTGGAGCAACAAAACCAGGTGCTGGAGACCAAGTGGAACCTACTGCAGCAGCTGGACCTGAGCAACTGCAAAAGGAATCTAGAGCCCATTTACGAAAGCTATGTCAGCACACTTCGTAGGCAGGTGGAGACCCTGTCAGGGGATAGGGTGAGACTGGACTCTGACCTGAGGAACATGCAGGATTTGGTGGAGGACTTCAAGAAGAGGTAAGAATAGCAAGTTGTACAGAATCTGTTTTCAGTTTCATGTGCAATCATCTTTTTTTTTATTCTACTATGTTATGGAAATGCTTGTTTTATTTCATAAATTAAAAACAAAGTAAATAAAACTTTAAAAAAGAAGAGGTAAGCAGAGAAGAAGGCAGATATGGATTTTATTTGTGGAAAATGAAGCTTTCGGCTCTTTCCCCACATTTAAGGATTTCATGCTAATATTAATCCTTTGTTGACACTGCCATCATCTCTTCTCTTCCTTTCTCCAGTCTCTCTAGTCTTTCAGAGAATGTGTAAATCAGATAGATTAAAAGGGAGGGGAGGGAGGGAGAGACAGAGAGACATAGAGACAGAGAGAAATAGAGAGACACAGAGAGAGAGAGGAAAGGGAGAAAGAGAGAGAGAGAGAGACAGACAGACAGAGGCAGAGAGAGACAGAGACAGAGAGACAGACACGTACACAGACAGACAGAAAGAGACAGAAAGACAGGGGAAAGACAGAGAGAAACAGAAAGAAACAGAGAGTCAGAAAAATAAAAATTTAGTGGGAGAGAGAGAGAGAGAGAGAGAGAGAGAGAGAGAGAGAGAGAGAGAGAAAGAGAGTAGTTTTGCTCAGGCTATTACTTTTCTTTTCTTTTCTTGTCTTTTCTTTTTTTGGGCTGTTGTTCTTAGAAATGATGTTGTTTGTTCCTAGCACAAAGGTGGTGGTAGAGTAGGCCTAGATTTGGACCTGGAGATTTTCTGGCTCCTTGTGCATTACAATTTCTTGGGCAGTTTTATCATGTGCTTCCCACAATTTCTGTATCAACACCAAAATTCATTTGTAGCAGAAATCTTTTTGGATAAACCCACTATTTATAATATAATTAATAAACAGCTCAGCACCAAAACCAGGAAGACGGGATCAAATCGTGCCTCTGACACATAGTTGCTGTGTAACTGGCCTTGGGAAAGTGGCTTAACCTACACAATTCTCAAAGTTGCAGGCCAACCTGCATTGGCAGAGGGAGTCTCCTCACTGAGTTCTCTATACCAATGAAATTAAAAGTTCAGTCCTTACTATTCATGAACACTTGTCTGTACTTTTGGTCCCCCTCATTGGTGTGGAGAATTGAGAGGCATCTTAATTTGGAAGTGTGCTGTTTCTTCCATTAAGCTGAACCAGTAATTAGAAGACCAGTTTTCAGGGTGCCATGCCCCTAAGCATAACTTCTATGGCCCAGGGCTTCTAGGAATTGGAGGCTTCTGAGATTTTGGGCAATTTATAAGCAATAAAAGGGAGCCTCCTCCATTCAGTGCCACCTTGTCCCTTCCCATTTGGGTGATTTCTAAGTGCACAGCTGCCTTTTTCCCAGAAACTGGACATAGAAACAAAGGGAAGAAAGAGACTCATTCCCTGAACTTAGGGAGTGGAGGTCTCATTGTTTGTATGGTTGGTTTTGGTGGGTGAGTGGGAGAAATGGGGCATATACCAAGACTTAAAACTGATTAGAAACAACATATAAAGCCATGCAAAGGAACAGAGGGCAAGCTGATCACTCCAGTGGGGAGGGGATGTGGAGGAAAGAAGGCAATCAGAGTCACATGTAGTTTTGTGATGGGGTATATTTTAGTAATTAATTCAGAATACTGAAGCTGAAGCTTAAATACTTGGGCCACATAATGAGAAGATGAGACTCACTGGAGAAGACCCTGATGTTTGGAAAGATTGAAGGCAAAAGGAGAAGGGGATACCAGAGGATGAGATGGACAGATAGATAGCATCATGGAAACAACAAATATGAGCTTGGACAGACATGGGGAGATTGTGGAGGATAGAGGAGCCTGGCATATTATGTTCCACAGTGTCAGGAAGACTCAGACACAACTGAACAAATGAACAATAATGAATATTTTAGTAGCAAGTTCTGCACTATGAAGTCAGGAGAGACCTGGATCTGAGTGTCAGCTGTTTCATTTACTAGTTGTGACCTTGGACAAGTCCCTTTATTTCTCTAAGTCTGTTTCCTCATCTATAAAATGCTGATGATAATACATACTTGTCTTGCATACTTTAAAGGGTTGTTATACAATTATTAAATGATATCTGACGAGGTAAAATTTTGTAACTTATTAACTACTATGTAAATATAGTCATTATTTTGAACAAAATTGGGAAGGAGTAGAGGAACTTTCATTGGAGAAGACTATATGTGCATCACAGAGGTGAAGCCTCCTTTATCCCCACTGGACATTAACCCCAATGTCATCAAAGTTTAGAGCCTGCTTAGGTGTCTTTATCTTCTTAATGAATCTAATTTTCATTCCCTTTTCTTTATTCCCATGTAGGTATGAGGTGGAAATTAATAAACGAACAGTGGCTGAGAATGAGTTTGTGGTGCTCAAGAAGGTGAGACAGCAACTGCTGGGGGTGGAAGAAGAGAAACAAAGTGGGAGTAGTCCTGGGTGGGCCCAAAGAGCTTATTGACCCCTGGCCTCGTCACTCCAGGCAAGAGGTAAAATCTGGTGGTTTTGTGGGAAGGGATAGCAGGCCCTAATGTGGCGCTTTAAGGTTCTTGAAGCTCTTTACCTGTGCTATCTCACTTGATCCTCACAAAAACTTTGGGAAGTGAATGCTATTGTTCTCCCCATTTTACAGAAGAGGAAATAGGTCGAGAGAATGTAAATCACTTGCCCAGCTAGTGAACAGCTGAGAAAGGATTTGGGTCATTTTATCCCTTGGACCCTGATTGACATTTTGGCCAAGTATTTCACAAGTCCATTACTCCCAAGTATTTTGTTTTGAGTTAATTGTCTTGAGTTAAATTGACTCAAAAAGCATGTACTAATTATGTGTCCAACTCCATATTAAGTTCTGGTAATCAAAATATAAGCAGAAAGATAATCCTGCCTTCAAAGGGCGTACATTCTAATGGCGTGTGTGTGTGTGTGTGTGTGTGTGTGTGTGTGTGAACACAACACATAAAAGAGAGCTGGAAAGAAGAGATGAAGTTACTAGAGGCATTGTAGGGGAAGTTGAGAGGAATGGAGACATAGTTGACTTGGGCACCCTCCCTCAAATGGTGGTTCTGGGAGGAAGAAGCCAATCAGAAGAAGTCAGTGGTGTGGAGAGTGCTTTCAATGTGTGAAGTATAGGAGAGGAGTGATCTTCCAGGGTATAGAGGTTTCTATAGAATGGTGGAAAAAGTTCAGAATCAGGAATATGGCTTGGAAAGGAATAAATTCTTGACATGTTGTTTGGAAGAAATCAAGATAAAAATTCACTGGTTTGAAATTCAGATGTTTGATTGACCATGTACTTTGGGCACACCTGGATCCTGTGCAGGCTTTCGGTCCTCTGAGCTCCTGGGTCTTCTTCCCATTAAGCATGGGGAAGGTGAGGGCAAAGTACGGAGATATCCTGCTTGCAGAAGAGCCAGGTTTTGGAGGTAGACATCGCTACCATGTGATGTTGAAGTTATGGCTCCAGCAGAATACTGCCCCTGCATCCTGGAGCAGTTGGATCAGGGGCAAAGGGGTGAACATGAAGGAAGAGATTACACCTCCCTGGGTTATTGCTTCTACAGGATGTGGATGCAGCCTACATGAACAAAATAGAGCTCCAGGCCAAGGTGGACGCTGCAACCGATGAGATCAAATTCCTCAAATGCCTATATGAAGGGGTAAGCATCATCTCCCATCCTTTCCCTCATACAAGTATAACATGCAGACCAGTGACCCCATAGATGCCATCTGTCTCCTTGCTCAAGATCTAGAGGACTGGTATTCGGTGAGGGGGGCCAGGAAGCAGATACCATGGTAAGGGAGTTAGTTGGAAGGAGTGAGGAGAAGATGGGCTGGTAAATGTAGTTACTTATTTGCAAGGCTTTTGTTAAGGAAGACAATTCATATCAACAGCAGAAATATTAAGAATACTCTCAGGTACTGGAGAGAGTGCAGAACGGGGTGAGGAACAGTCAAAAGGGAATGACGCATATGCTTTCTGACCTGCAGTAACTATTAGTTTGAGACAGACATACAAACACAAGCAGACATAAGTACATGACATATGGACAGCAAAGTCTTGAACAATTAGAGCTGAAAGGAACTTTGGAAATCATTTAAATTAAAAGAGAAATTTTAAAAAATCACTAAGATTTTACTATGTGCCTGGCATTGTGCTTAGGACTGGGTTTACAAAGAGAGATAAAAATAGCCCCTGTCCTCAGTGCAGTTTTACAGATGAGGAAACTGAGTTTTTAAGAAATAAAAGTAACTGCAATCACATCTAATAAGTGGCAGAGCTGAGACTAAAACTCAGGTCTTCTGACTCTTGGTCAACTGCTATTCCTCCTGCACCACTCTTGGGTCCTTAAAGTGAGACCAAGGAATGTTGCTGGAGCCAGCTTGAACTGATTCTCAAGAGCTGATTGTTAAATTTTCAGGGTGAAAACTCAGAACAGGCAAAGGTTATAAGGGCTTGACTGATTGCTTTGTGGATTGTCTAGATTTAAGAAAGTGATAGAGAAAATGTTAATGAGGCAAGTTAAACTTAAAAGTGTACTGTATTGTAAGTACATTTCTTTTTCCAGAGAGCTGATTATTGAGCATTTCCTAGCACACCCTTAGTATTTGCATTATTCAAGGCATAAGTGCCCCAGGGGTATTGAAGAGGTTATTTAGGAAAAGAGAGATACTCTTAAATTCACTGTTGCCTATCCGTTGCCTAGGAGATTGCCCAGATCCAGTCCCACGTCAGTGACACATCCGTCATCCTCTCCATGGACAATAATCGAGACCTGGACCTGGACAGTATCATTGATGATATCAAAACCCAGTATGAAGAGACCGCCATGAGAAGCAAGACTGAGGCTGAGGCCCTCTATCACAGCAAGGTAGAGGATTCTAAAGATTTTCTCACCAATTATCTCACACGATCCTTTGAACGACCCTCTGAGATAGGCATTATCCCCATTTAATACACGAGGAAATTGAGGATCAGAGAAATTAAAAGCCTGGCCCAAAGTCACACAGCTAGTACATGACAAAGCTAGGACTCAGGTCTTATTCTTTCCACTACAGTATGATGCTGAGGGTGGGCCATAGCTACTTAACCTGGTTCTCCCATTAGAAAACATTTCTCTCACAGGCATGGTGGGCTCAGATGGAATTTTTAATACTGGACTTGAGCACTGAAGTTAGGCCCTCTACCTCTGTTATTTAGTTCACCTGTATTCCAGCTTGGCTTGACTCTACAGGTTACCCAGGCTTTTAACATTACTTTGCCTTATGTTTCTCATCTACTTTGGAGCTACTTTCTAAGTCCCTGGGGCTAGGAAAGGGAGAGGAGAAGAAACTCAAATTCCACCAAAGTTCTCTTAATGTATTTTTTCCCTCTTGGAAGTAATAGTGTAAATACTTCCTGATGACTGTGAATGATGACTGAAGGCATTTGTATTCCCTGGAAGCCATTGAGAATCAGAGCAGAACAAGGATTTTCCTACTTGGGATCAGATTCATGGATCCAGTCAACAAATACATATGAAAGGATAAAGAGATGGTGCCTTGAAGTCTTTTCTGCTTCCACAATATGAGTATCTATCTTGGTATGGGTATGGACAAAGGAAACTTGGTTTATTTAGGCCAATTAAACATCCCTGTTGAAAAAAAAAAACATTCTGATCCTATTTGGTTTTCTTGGGATGATTTCCTGATTTTCTAAATCATTTTGCATGTTATTTTGATAAGGAAGGCAGAACAACTGAGTTGTGGGCAGAAAGACAGTGATTACTGTACTGCTAATAACCCTAACATGGGCACTGATCTTTCTCCCACCATGAGGATGCCTTTAGGTAGCATATAAAAAGCATGTAGGGCTCCAGGGCTGCTATTCCTAAAATGACTCTTATAGATTGTGAAAATAGAACTGAGGATGTTGAAAGGTGGGAGAGTAAGGGAGCCATTTTTTTTTAATGGCAAAGGAGTGTGGCTCTGGGGAGTCTGGTAATGCAGGTGTCTTCTTCTATGTGCTTGGGTTTGTGTTTCTCTGAGTAAAGTCTTGGACATTGGACTGGGCTGTAATTGGCCTGAGTTCTTTGAAACAGAGAACACCAAAGAACTGAGAAATGATGACCCTTTGTCAGGGTCAGTGAGAGCCATGCTTGTGACAATACTTCATGGTCCTTCCTTATTCTTTTGGACATACTTGGTCACAGACTCTTACAATTACTGTCCTTGAGACCTTGATGATACTATGTTTGTGTCAATATTGTATGAACATGTGAGAGAGACCAAATTGTCCGGTTGAATAAATAAATCTATAAATATAAATCTATACAAATACAAATCTATAAATAAATAAACCTATAAATAAATCCTCAATCTCTTCCCTGTTATTTGTCCTTGCTGCTCACCCTCAGATTCAAGAGCTACAAGTCACAGCTGGCCGGCAGGGTGATGACCTTAAACTTACCAAGGCTGAGATCTCAGAACTTAATCGACTGATCCAGAGACTTCGTTCAGAGATTGGGAGTGTGAAGAAACAGGTGAGTCATGCCAATAAATCAATCAGTGAGTATTTGTTGAGTATCTATTACGTGCTTAGCATAACCCAAGATGTTGTGGAAGATAGATGGTCCTTGCCTTTAAGAAATGTGCAGTCAATTTGGAGACACTGGTCTGCATGATGACTAACTTAAGACAGCATATAATTAACTGCTAAACCATGTGGCGTGATAAATGTTGTAGGAGACTGGGGAGAAGGGAGATCAAAGGGTCTCATAGCATAGGCTTAGAAGACTTCATTGCAAATGAAGTACTAGAATTGAGCCTTAAAGGACTGAAGACTTTTCCAGGCAAATGGAACAAGATGAGTAAAAGCACAAAAATGGGAAAGGTAAGGAGATGAATCTGATTGGACAAATGATGTGCATTGGGGAGTACCAAGAAATAAGATTAAATCAGTAGGGTAAGAGAGGGGGTTGGACTTGATGGTCTCTGGGATCTTTCCAGACCTTCATCTGTGATCCTATGCTATATCACAGACTGGCATGGGGGTCACTCTGTCTTTTGCTTTCTGGTGACCAGGGACCACATTTGCATATCTCCATGAGCTTGGAGAATTGATGTTGCTATTCCACTTGGATGCTTGCTGCACCCTTGTCTGGAAGCAGCAGGCCAAACTATCAGTCTGTAGAGGTAGGCTTCTGCTAAAGGCTCTTCTGAACTCATATTCCTTGCCCTATTCCACCTAGGCTCTCAGCTCTTCTCCCCTCCCAACTCCTACCTCAATTGAACTGCCTACTCTTTCAGCCTCTAAAGAGTGAGTAGGGCCAAAATAGTCAGGGAAAGAAGGCTGGAACTAACCAGTGGATAATCCATACATGGAAAATGAAGAGCTGACAGTGTTTTTTCAAGACTAAAGAATCACATAGATGCAAAAAATGCGAAAGACCCTTTAAACAATCATGAACACTAGATTATGATGTTTAATTGATGAAATGATAGGTTTTTGTAATGAGGAAAGGATATCAAACAGAAATTAACTTGTTGTGATCAAAATTAGATGTTATTATTATTCAGAATACATGAGAAAATAATTTTGCCATGTTCCCATAGCCTCCCCCACCCTATATTCTCCTGAGTCTATTTGTATAAATATAGGTTTAGACAAACCTGGGATACAGGCAGAAGTATTGACTTTGGAGATCTCTAAGTATTAATATTGGTCCTCATGGTATCTGAATAAATGAGAATCTGAACTGGAATTCTGTTAAATTCAACTTGCATTTATTAAGTGCCTATCATGAACACATTGTGCTGGTATAGAAATAAAAGCAAAGGTCCTCAAGAAACTTAGATTCTATTGGAGGGACATTTAAATATAAAATATACACTGACTAACATCTCTGGGGAGAGTATAGATATAATAAGAAGGGTTCTTTGTAACAATATAATGGGATACCCTGCTTTGACTGTCCTGCCCATGGAAGCTTGACCCTTCCTGGCTCACATTTAGATTATTGGATAGAGTAGGTTTGGGGCTGATGTGGATGGGTATGAGAGAGTGGGGAGTAATGGTCAGGTAAGGGAGCTTTAGCCTAGATTATGAGTGGAAACACAAAGATTATGAGTGGAGCCATGGGAAAGTAGACTGTCATGTCCTTCATATGGCAATAGTAATGTCAATGTTATTAATAATTTCCTAGCAAGAGGTAGAAATGTGGGAGTTGGGGGGTGTTGGGGAAAGGGGCAATATTACAAAGTAGCAGGGCACATGGCAGGAGGTGATGGAGTCCTCAGGACTAGAAAGATTATAGAAGGATAAAGAATGTGTGAAGTTCTTATTTTCCAAGCCTTAGCCAGGTTGGTTCCAATCTAGGGTTCCCTCCAATGTTGGGTAGATTATTATCCCAAAGGTGTGGAAATCTGAAGCTCAGATGTATATGACCTTGGACAAGTCTCTTAACTTCCTTAGACCTTAGTTTCCTCATTGGTAAAATGAGTCTGCTGAACCAGATGATTTCTAAGGTGCTTTCCAATTCTAAATCTATGATCCTGTAACATCAAGACTTTCTATGTAATCAAAAATACTTTAGAACTTATGTCCTTCACCCCACAGTGTGCCAACTTGGAGACAGCTATCGCAGATGCTGAGCAGCGGGGTGACTGCTCTCTGAAAGATGCTCGGGCCAAGCTGGATGAGTTGGAGGGTGCCCTACATTGTGCCAAGGAGGAGTTGGCGCGCCTGTTGCTGGACTACCAGGAGCTGACTAGTGTCAAACTGGCCCTGGACATGGAGATTGCCACCTACAGGAAGTTACTGGAAGGCGAGGAGTGCAGGTGAGGAGAAGGGGAGAGTAACGTTGCTTTTGAACAAGCTGGTGATTGGTCAGGTTCTACATCAAGACAGTAAAACAAGTGTTTATTTATAAGTAAATCAACAAATATTTTAAAGCATCTACTATTTGTTGGGTACTGGGCTAGGTGCTGGGTTTCCAAAGATAAAAATGAAATAGGTCCTGCTCACAAGGAACTTACATTCTATAGGAGACAACATGTGCATATATTTAAGTGTATATGAAATATAATTTGGGGAAGGAGAGGAACTAGTAGCTGGGGGATAGGAAGGGGTGTTTGAGCTGAGCTTTGAAGGAAACTAGGCATTCTAAGAGGCAGAGGGGAGGAGGGAAGGCATTCTAGGTGTAAGGGACAGACTAGGGGTGGGGAACTTGCGCCCTTGAGGTCACTTGTGGCCCTCTAGGTCCTCAAGTGTGGACCTCTGACTGAATCTAAACTTCCCAAAACAAATCCCCTTAATAAAAGGCTCAGAGAAAGGAGATGAAATGTTGTATGTGAAGAACAGTGAGAAGGCTAGTTTGGCTGGACTAATGTGGGAAAATATATGACAAGTCTGGGAAGGTAGATTGGAGCATCTATTATGTGCCAATCAACCAATCAATCAGAATTTATTGGCACGTCTATTATGTGCCAGGCACTGAGAATACAAAAAGAGGCAAAAAACCTGGTCCTCTTACATTCTATCAGTGAAAACATGTACACAGATAAATAAATGTGAAATACATAAAAATGAAATACAAAGTAATTTTGGGGTGGGAGGGATTAGGAATGACCTTGTATGGAAGGTGACACTCAAATTGAGCATTGAATGGAGCTTAGAGGGAGAATGAACTTCAGCTAGGAAAGAACTTTAGGGGTCATTTGGTTCAATTTTCTTATTTTACAGATAGAGAAACTGAGACAATCAAATGACTTACCTAAGGTCATCTAGTTAGTAAGTGGCAAAGAGTCAGTCCTAGAACTCAGATCTCCTAACTCTAAATCCAGAGTTCTACCCACTGACTCATTTCCCCAAGAATGGTGAAGAGGGAGGGGTGAGGGGAATTTTCATAGTTTTAGAGCTGGATGGGACACTCAGAGTTCATCAGTCTAACCTTTTTCATTTCATAGAAGAAGAGACAGAGACAGAGACTGAGAGAGCTTAATTGACTCCCACAGTCTACCACACAGACCTGAGCAGTGAGGTTGGGAATCTGAAACCAGGTCCAATATTCTTTTCCGCTGTCCCATACTGATCCCTAAATGCCACACTATACCCCTCTATGGAGGATATTGTGATGTAGGAAATGGCAGCTGAGGATTTAACCTGACCTGGGAATAGTTTATATAAATTGTCTTAGCATTCCCTCCTTGCAACTGCATAATTGAGAGTAAAGTGCATTGGGCTAGTTAGAATAACTGCCATTGGTTACTTTGTTGTGTTTCACCCTCTGCAGGATGTCTGGCGAGTATCCAAATTCTGTGAGCATCTGTAAGTACATGCACACCTCAGCCCTCTTCTTGATAACTCTCTTTTATCCAGTCATTTCAAGGGCAAGCCAGGGGATCAGGATACTTGGAGGAGCAGGAGAGGCAAAAGTCCAAAGAGCAACGTAGACCTCTCTTGGGTTTGGGCGGTAATCAAGGAGGGAATCAATGGAAGGAACACTTCTAAAATGTCAGAATGGCAGAATCTCAGAGGTGGAAGGGACATCAGAAGGATCTAGTTCAGCCCCTACCCAAACAAGAATCCCCTTTATGGTATATCTGACAAAGGATCCTCCAGCCTTTGGTGGAAGGTCTCAAGAGGACCACACATTGTCAGAGCTGGATGGGGTTTTTAGATAAAGGTTGTGAGTGCAGCCTTCTTATTTGTGGAGGAGGGAACCTAGGACCAGAGAGGGGAAGTAAATTTTCCAAGGTCACACAGTGAGTGGCCAATCCAGGGGAAGGACATAGGTCTTCAGACTCATAGTCCAGGGCTTTCCCATTATATTGTTTTCCTCCTCCTTCCTTCTCACTTCCTTCCCTCCCTCTTTCCTCCCTCCCTCCCTCCTTTCCTCTCCTTCCTTCTTTCTCCTTTCCTTCCTTTTTTCTTCCTTCCCTCCTTCCTTTTTCTTTCTTGCTTTCTCCTTTCCTCCTTCCCTCCTTCCTTCCTTTCCTCCCTCTCTTCTTTCTTTCTTTCCTTCATGTTCTCTAGATTCTTTTTTCACTTTTAAAATTCTGAACTTAAAAAAGCCACTAAGTATTTTCATAATTGAACAGAGAGAGTCGTACATGAAAGTGTTAATCTCTTTTCTATACAGCTTGCTTTTCTTTTAAAACATATCATATTTTATTTTCATATCTTAATGCTACTTTCAAAGCTGTCCTATTTGTGATTCCTTCTAGCCTTCTTTCTGTTCTCATAGGGTATTTCAAAAACATTTCAGTCATCTTTTCTTTCTCTTCTTTTAAAAATGAAAAACAAAACTATTCAGAGCCTCTCTTTCCTTCCCTTCTCCACTCCACCCCTACTTAAGGAAAAAACCCAAACAAAAAACCTTTATATAAAATATGCATCGTTCAGCAAATCAAATTCCCACATTGGTCATGTCTGGAAATCGCTGTCATATTCTGCATCTCGAGTCTATCGCTTGTGTGTCAGGAGAGGGGTAGCATACCTCATCCTTGTGAACCCTTTGGAATCACGGTTCATCCATCAGAGCTTTTTGCTGCTGTTGTATATGCTGTTCTTCTGGTTCTGCTCCCTTTGCCTTGCATCAGTTCGATATGTGTATTATTTCACAGCGGTCATCAGCAGCACCAACACCAGACCAGGAGGCACTGGCTTCAGTGTGGGCTTCGGAACCTCGAGCACTTACAGCTATAAGCCGGGAGCCACCGACATCAAAACCAAGGGCAGCTGTGGAGGCAACTACAAGGAGCCCGTGACCAAAGGCGGCAGCTCTCCAGCCAAGAAGGGCTTCAGATAAAGGTTGAGCAGCCAAGTCCTCCCAGTCGAGAATATGTGCAAGGAATCTTTGAGCCCCTGCTGCTACCCAGCGACCCCCTGTTCAGCTCTCAAGGCAAGACGCTCTCTTTGCTCTCTAAAAGCCTGATTGGTTCCCTCTCCTACTATCTTCAGTATCTTCTGCAAAGGGGATCCAGACCAGCCTAGCTACGGACTCTGATAACTGCTCCTCTGTGGGCAGCCTTCACAGGGCCACAAACCCAGTAATGGCTGGCATCTCTACATAAATTTAATGCTTGCAAATCACTTTACAGACGTTATTTCATTTGAACCTCACAACACCCTTATGAGGTAGACACTATATACTATCCTATTATACTATAGAATACTGTAGGTATTCTCATCCTCATTCTACAGCTGAGGAAACTGAGGCTCAGAGAAGTCATCTGATCCTCACAACCCTGAGAAGTAGGGGCTATGGTGATCCCCATTTTACAGATGAAGAAACTTAGGCTGAGGGGGGTTAAGTGACTTGCTCCCCCAGGATTACACAGCTAGCATCTTTGAGTTCAGGTTATCCAGACTCCAATCCAGCACTACTTATCTACTGCAGCTAAGGGGCAAGGGCACAACCTGAACCCTGTCTAGTATCCCATTTGTTACACTATGCTGCCTCTCAAGATGCAAATGGTTTACATATTCTGGATGCTTCCAACCTCCGCCAGCCATTGTATCCCCTGATACCTCACTCCCCAGTTCCAATCTCCATACATATGCAACTGCCGGCTTTAGATTGCCAGAGAAAACTCTTGCCTTGGGCTGTCCATATGCTTGTCCTGATGCTGTCTGCTGTCTAGTTATGGCTGATCATTGTCAGTTTTCTGCTGCCTCCTAAATAAATGTCACACGCTATTTTGTTGATCTCTGTGGTATCTGTTGCCCAAAATACTCCAAGGGAAGAACTACGTCTCAGTGGGTGCCGTGTCAACAGCTCCAGAGAATTGCTCCAAGCGTAATCTAGTACCTGCTTGCCTCTGGTCCCTACCATCTGCTTCTGGATGGGCAGCCACTGAATGGACACAGATCATAACTATTAATTAACATCTCTCTCAATTTCTCTTGCTTTAAGACTTGAGATTTCTGCAATATATATTTTCCCACCACAGCGCAGATGACAGCCCCTCTGCGCCAGGTTAGACAGTCTGTAAGTTTCATCATCCTGTAGGTATCCTGTGGTGGATACTTTCCATACTTAGCTAGGCTGATGCTTGGAGAATACACACACACACACACACACACACACACACACACACACACACACACACACACACACACAC